TGCGTTGTTAGATTGAAGGGGGGCCTCGGCCCCCGCCCCTGGGTTCAAACCCCGACTCTCCCTCTTTCCAGACACAGGATTCTGGACGCGTTTCTGAACCGTTCTCTGCCTCGATTTCCTTATTCGTGAAATTGCGCTGTGCCGTCTGCCTCTCTGCTGGGTTCGCACAGGAGGTTTAGCGAGCTAATGCATGCAGAGTGCGGGGGCCTGGTGTCCGTTAGGCTCTCCGGCAGGGGTGGTCTGGATAGCTGGGTTTACGGGTTCGAGTAGAAAACTTATAGCGCTATAGCCGAGAACAGCATAACTGTACAGATAAAGTTAATCAAACACTACAAATCCATGCTGTAATTAACTACACTCTTATTCTAAAAGTCTAATAGGAGGATTTTACCTAAAAAGCGCTTCTTTCAGTCCCTCCTTTTGTCGGAGATGCCCTTGTATGTGCCCGTCTTCCCCCTACACCCTCCAAACTGCATCCTCGCCCTCTCTCAACTCCCCCACCCCCTTCCTCAACGCTCGCCCTACTTTTTTATCTATAGCAGACACTTGACGCCTCCTTCCAATGAGATCTCTGAATCCCGCTCTTGAACGTTCTCGAATGTCTCCCAGTGCCGCGTCGAGCCTCGGTCAGTTACATGTTTTCCGGTTGGCTTGGCAGGTCTCAACGATTTCAGCTACCTTCACACAAACTGCTTCGAGCTGTCCATCTACGTGGGCTGTGACAAATACCCTCACGAGAGCGAGCTGCCCGAGGAATGGGAGAATAATCGGGAGTCTTTAATCGTGTTCATGGAACAGGTAGGCACGGACACGCAGCTGCGTTAGGGCCTAGCTAAGGAGCACAGTCCTGTAGGTGGCTGGAAGCGAGGAATCGAATTAGTGCTCAGGCTGTGGGCTTCGTCCTGGGCCGCCGTTGACCCGGGCCGGCCGCCACAGTGCGGGAAGGAACCACTGTCGGTTTGCACTTGACTGGACCCAAGAAAGTGAACTCTAAGTCAATGTCGATTGCTCTCACTGGTTCATGGTGCATGAGACTAGTTCGGGAGGTTTTCAGATGCTGCCCTGTGGGGAGGTGGGTGACATGTGTCTGAGTCAACGTGCCCAGGCCCCTTGTATTAGCCTGCTCATGCTGCAAATATACAGGCTGAGGGACCTACACAACAGAAATCACAGTTCTGGAAGCTGAAAGTCCAAGATCAAGGTGTCGGCAGGTTGGTTTCACTCCTTGGCTCGCGGCCGGCCACCTTCTCACTCGGTCTTCCTCCTGTGGGCGTGCACGGCCTGTGTCTCTGTATGCCCCAGTTTCCTCTCCTTCTAAGTACACCGGCCAGATTGGATCCAGGCCCACTCTAATGACCTCGTTTTAACTTCATCACCTCTCCAAATGTAGTCACGTTCCAAGGTGCTGGGTTTAGGACTTCAACATATGAATAGGTGACGAGTCACTGCTGCAGGAGGCAGGGTGTCACCTGGAGCAGTTCCAACGAGGGCCCGCTGAGGTTCTGCTCACAGCCAGGGAGGAAGGAAGCCCTGCTACATACGCTGGGAAGGTCGTGGCTTCCCTTCCCCTGCGCTCAAGGTCATGCCCATCTTGTAGCACCGAATAAACCAGTTCAAGCGTAGTGCTAACACGAACCAAATAGCACACATGCCCCACTCAGTAAGGAGCAGACTAGCTGGAAACCAGAGGCGGGGCCAGTTGGCGAGCTCACCCTGCGTCTCGTCATGTTCGCCCGGCAGGTCCATCGTGGCATCAAAGGCATCGTGAAGGATTTACATGGAAAAGGAATTCCCGGTGCCGTGATCGCCGTAGAAGGTGTCAGCCACGACATCCGAACAGGTACCTGTGCATAGACAACGTGCATTTTCCCGAAGCGTTTGAATGGATGAGTGGACGCTACATGGTGTTTCCACGAGTGGCTGAGCTGGGGTTTGAGCCAGCTCAAATCTCAATGCAGTGCCCCTCCCTTTTCCCCATGCCGTTCCTCCTAAAGGCCAGAAGGGGCCCTTCCACCCAAAACTGCTCTCACGCTGAGCTAACAGACCTTGTCCTCCAGCAAACGGCTCCAGTCTGACTTGCGTGGAAACAGAGACCGTGAGGTACTAGGGCAGGGCGAGGCTGGGATTCAGACCCGGCCATGTGCTCTCCGATGCCAGGCTGCCTGCCCACATGCCTGGTCCAGAAGCCAATTATTATTTTTAAATGGGTGAAATGTTATCTCAAATGCCGGTACGTGGTGGACTGCCATGTGACACTCCGAGTCACGTTCTTTCCTCCCATTGGCCTATTTCTTTGACGATATTTTCGCACTGTGTAGCATGGAATTTGGGACATGTCAGCCCCTCACAGACACTCATTGATTCGTCGTTCATTCATTCATTCCTTGATTAATTCAAAACATGCAAACTGCGAATCGATAACGGGCCCGAGACATGTGAGGTGCCGAAGGTCATTACTAATGAAAGAGGCTGTTTGATCTGCTCTGCGTAGGACAGTGTTTTAAACATTGATGATGAGCCCCTTCAGAAGAGTGATTCATAAAGGAGCCTGGAACATTCTTTGGACTTATTAGTGCCTTGTACACATGGTGAGAAAACAGGGTTTTAAAAGGGCCTGGAAATAAAAAGCTTCCAGGGCCCCACAAGCTGGCAGAGAGTCCTTTGCTTAATGAGCTCTGAATTTCAAGCCCCTGTGATCAGGAGACTATTTCAACGAGCTAATGGGAAACGCGTCTCTCTTTGCCTTAGTCTCCCTATAAATAATTTCCCAGCGCGTTTTCATGGCAGATGAATTCCGTACTTCACACATGGCCCCTTATTTGTTTCAGCGTCTCTCGGTGCTAACGTCAGCTCTGAATCTGCCTTGATTCCTGTCTGAGGCGTGTGCGATCTGACAAGTTTTATTTCAGGAGAGATTGTGCGTAAGATAAGCAGGTAGTAAACGGAATTCTAGAGGGAGAGAAGCTGGTGAGAATGCTTTCTACGTGCACGTAAATATGTTGGCCGAGCACCTGGCTCGGAATGCCACGTGAATGTCCTGCGTTTGGTGGACACTAACCTGATCTGCTAACAAATGGACATCCACAGGGGCCCGAGTTGTCCCTTCTGTCCACTGGTGCTGAGCGACGCCAGCTGTGTGTCCTTCCTCTCTGCAGCTCCACGGAACGCTCACCCCCACACAGACCTGATCGCTTAGTGGGACAGCACCCCAGCAGCAGTTAAGACTTAACATGTCCAAATTCTTGGGTTAATAAGACATTCTGATTCCCGTTCGCTTATCTGTCCTCATCCCACTCAGCCTCACCCGCGTTCACTGGGGACACGCCATATGAAGCACCGTTAACTGCTGGAGAGTTAGAGAGAGGCACCCACACCCTGACACAGGGCCAGGGTGGGAAGAGGGGCTCACGGTCTGGGAGGACAGCAGGACACGCGAAGGGCCGGCTCCCTCACGTCTGCCCGGGAGCCTTCGGGGCCCAGAGGGGTGTCTCGAGGGGGAACTGCATTGAGGTGCAGGCCGTCTGATCGCGAGATGAAGACTGCTTAACAGGACTCCTGCCGTCTGAAAAGCCATGGAATGGCGTTGTATGTAGTAGAAAACCTTGCATTTTCACCCAGTGCAGTGCTGAGGCGCCCCGGGGGCCCCTGCCTGTGGGGTGCGCCTGGGCTCTGTGCTGAATCCTGTGCAGTCAGGGGCCGATGGACGCGTGGCAGACGGTTGCCAACGCCTTCCGTTTCCCTTCTTGTGCCCACGGCGTGGCGTGAGGTGTCTCGGATGAATAACGACTGTAATGTGAATTTAAACATGACGTTTCCAAGTGTTACCGTGTCTCCATGGGGGATACGCACGTACGCACGCGTGCGCGCACGCATACACATGCACACATACACGCATACACGGTTTTCTTCCATCCCTGATGTTTGTTGAGATGAAGACACCTTTCTCAGGTCTACGTAGCACTTTCTCAAATCCCGCCTTTGCTTTACGTAGCACCAAAGCTGTAGACCAGGCAGGACATGCAGATCGTTATAAGAACCGACCCTGGCACGGGGGGACCTGCCAGGTACTAGCGGTGTGACCTGGTGCAGGACTTTACGCCGCCCTGGATGTCAGATTACTTATGTGGGACAGGGGACAATCGTAGGACCCACATCAGAGTTTTTCCTGGAGAGTCAGTGAGTCGGTGCTGGCCTGCCGTGTGCTCTGTCCTGTGTGGGGGTCGCTGTGTCAGAGAACCGACCCTGGCACGGGGGGACCTGCCAGGTACTAGCGGTGTGACCTGGTGCAGGACTTTACGCCGCCCTGGATGTCAGATTACTTATGTGGGACAGGGGACAATCGTAGGACCCACATCAGAGTTTTTCCTGGAGAGTCAGTGAGTCGGTGCTGGCCTGCCGTGTGCTCTGTCCTGTGTGGGGGTCGCTGTGTCTCCTTTTCTGTCTTGCAGGCTCTTGAATGTCAGGGCTCTGTTCTCGGCAGGTTGTAGGCTCCTGGCAAGGTGTGGCCTTGGCCTAGACCCCGCTTTAAGTAAGAAGGATCTAGCCTAGAGCTAAGGATGGACACGAAGCCCATTAGGCGCTTGTTGGGTGACTGACCGGTGGCGCAGCCAGGTACAGGGGGTTCAGCCTTGCAGCACCCATGGGTGACTGCTTCTGCAGCTCCAGGTTTCCCTTGGTCCCCTAGGCCATGGAATAAGGGCCGTGGAATGAGGTGCAGACACAGGGCCTCCTCCCAGGTCATTGCCCCTTGTCCCGTGTCATCCTTCCCTTCTCTTTTCAGAAGTGAGGACCCCCTACCCCTCAATTACTGTCCTATATTTATAGCCATGCTAAGGGAAGCCAGGAAGCCATGCTCTGATAGCTTTTCAAGATGGCATTTTGTGGTGAGGGCACACCGTTTGAAAATTCAAATTCCTACCGAATGGGACGTATTGTCACAGAGGAAGGAGTGTCGATTATTTCTCCATCTCTGCTCATGTGTATTAACACTGTGGGAAGTCTACACCCCAAACCTCTGTCTGTTAAAACCATTGAGGGGGCTTCCGCAGAAGAAAGCATCTTGGCATCCAAAATGCACGAAGAATTTGCATCTGCAGGGGCTCAGATTCCACACGGCCTGCCCTGAGTCTCTTTCTGGCTGGGAGGCTGGTGGTCTCGGAATAACAGGGCTGGTAGTGTCTGCATTGGACAAAAACTGCTCTGAACGGCTGTCCTTTCTTTTCACAGCCAGCGATGGGGATTACTGGCGCCTCCTGAACCCTGGGGAGTATGTGGTCACAGCCAAGGCGGAAGGTTTCACCTCGTCCACCAAGACCTGCATGGTCGGCTACGACATGGGGGCCACGCAGTGCGACTTCACACTCGGCAAAACCAACCTGGCCAGGATCAGAGAGATCATGGAGAGGTTCGGGAAGCAGCCCGTCAGCCTGCCAGCCAGGCGGCCGAAGCTGCGGGGGCGGAAGAGGAGACAGCGTGGGTGACCGCCCGACACTGGAGACCCATCCCAGACCCCTGCAAGTTAAACCACTCCCATCATAGCTCCATAGAGGACTCACTCCTTGTTGTTTGCTCTGTAATTCAGGAGGCCTGGGAGGATGTGGGGGCCGCGAGGCGGGTCCCGAGGGGAGGGCTGCAGGCTTAGGGTATTTTCTTTTGTTCCCACGGAGCCAAGTAACTTGGGCAGAGCGGCAGAGAAAGGCTGGTGGGGAGGAGGGAACTCAGCAAGTCAGTAGAATCGGAGGTGGGCCTTGCCTGCTCAGGGCCTGCAGGCTACACGCGGTGCTTCCCCTGCTCGCCTGACAGCAAGAGTTCCCCGTGGGTTTGCCACGTGCACGGCTGGACTGCAGCATTCCCGGGGCCCTGCTGTTCCAAATGTCACGATTCAAGATGCTCCCGGGCGTTCGAAGAGGATCCACCCTCTCTGGCCCCAGACATCTCAAGCTGCTTCAGATAAATTCTGTGACAATAGAGATGTCACCAAGTGAGCGTCAGTCAGCCTCTTGAGTCAGTTTCGTTTCCCTTTCAACAAAGGCTCCGTGCTCATGAAAGGGGAGAAAGTCTGGAATAATTTAAGCGCTCCCTGGGCAGCTAGGCCTGCACGGGGGCTGGTTGCATGTATACCGGGTTTACCGCAAACCTCCCTCCGCCAGATTTCCTGCGGTCTAAGCCGGGGACAGCGGGAGGCGCCAGCCTTCCCAAGGAACCCCACCATTCAGCCCGGCTCCTCTGTGAGCCGCAAGGACTTGAAGAGAGCCTGAAGGAGGCTGACCCGCAGCCCTCGCTCTGCTCCAGACGCCCTCCCTGCACGGACGCGAGACTCCTCAACCAGCCTGACATCGCCGAGCGAGTCGTTTTTGACGTGTGGAATGCCAGACCTTCCGGATTACACTGCGTTTGCTGAAAAGCTCTTAGAATCATCTGCGGAACGTCCGTCTGTTCAGGAGGGGTTATTGAATTATCGTACCAGAAAACAAATTTCTCTCACCTTTTATTAATGTTGCTGCCTCACTGACCTGGGAAGAATAAGGAAAATAAAGAAAGCAAACGGTGAGATGCCTCTAGCGTGTGGTTTTCCTGAGCAGATTCGCCGCTACACCCAGCGTGACCGGGCAGAAAGCGATAGGAACAGGTTCCTCGCAGCCTGTTTCTGCAGCTGAGCTGATTCTGCGGGGCCGTGGAGGCTCTTCCCCCCGCCTGTCTGACCCCGGCCCCGTAAACACAGTCCCAGGTTCACAGCCGAGGCACAAGGAGACCAAGGAATATTAGAGAAAAGTCAGGTCTTTCAGGGCCTTCTGGGGGTGTACAGAGGAGAATGACAGGCCTTTAGGGCCGAGAGGCACCTGCCCATCAACACGTCCCAGGACGGCCCCCGGGTGTCCTCTCGCGGGCCAGCTCTGATTTACCGGTAGTGGGTGCCTGGAGCTCTGTGTTCAGAAGGATTCTGAGCAGAGTCCTGGCCCCGTGGGAAAGGATGCTGCGACGTATCGGCTGTGTGCGCTCTGGGGATGGGAAGGGGCGACAGCAGGGGTGCCTCGAGTTTCCATCCTGGAGCTTGTCCAGTCCCTCTGGACTTAGCGATAGGAACACTGAGGCCCGGGGAGGGACACGACCTGTCCCTCGTGGCCGGGGCAGGACTCAGGGCAGCTCACATTCCACAGCCTTCTGGAAACCAGAACCCGTGCTTGGCCCTGCAGCGGCCCTGGGTCCGTGCCGCTGGGCCTGGCTTCCTTAGGGGCAGATCACGCGCCCCGGCTGTGACGGAAGCTTCAGGAGCCACGGGAGCGGTGCAGAAATCAGAGGGCAGCAGATGGGGACCCCTGTTTGATGAACGCATGCAGGGAAAGTGTTAGCGTAGAGCTGGTGAAACTCGTTCGAAACCCCGAAGGAGCTCCCGGGCCCGATTCTGGTGCTGCTTTGCCGTCAACTCCCCGTCCGCCCGAAACGACCTAGCAGCTGGGTTCTGTCCTGTCTCGTGGCCTCGTTTTGATGTCCGCTTGGTGACGCTCATCAGAAGCGCAGCTCCGTGTCCTCTGCAGCCCGGCCAGCTGTGGTCAGCATCCCACTGGTCTTTCTTGTTATCTAATCTATCATGAGAGCAACCCTGACCGTTGAAAGAAGACAGCATCTTCACTCACACCCACGACGCCTCAGATAATGGACTCTGTCCGCGCCTCGTCCATTTGTCAGCTTCCCAGGGCCTCCTCCGAGCCTCTCTCCGGAGCGCGGCTGCCAGTGAAAAAGAGCGGAAATGTCCGTTGGTCCCCGCAAGCCACAGCTGCTCCACCTCGCTCCCCTCCAGGCCGTTCGGAGCAACACGCGTAAGTGTCCTTGGAGCCAGGAGATCTGGGTGGTGGTCCCCACCCTGCCACTTACTCCCTGCACAGCCCTGGGTACACTGAGTGACCTCTGTGAACCCCAGTCTTCTCATTCGTAGGACAGGCATAGAAGCGGGGCCCACCTCGCACGTCCGTCGTCAGGCTGCAGGTCCTGGGGATTCAGGCAGGTGCCTGGCATGACGCGGGGACCAAGAAGCAGAGAAACAGCTGTTGTTCCCGGCACCGTGCGATATTGCTCGTAACCCTCCCGGCTGCACTGGGTAAATATGATTCCCGTTTTCCAGATGGAGGAACTGAGGCTTGGGACCTGCGTAGATACATGCTGCCCGATCATCTACTTTGACTTGTTAAAGGGGAACCACTCTGACCTACTCCTTGATTTTTCTCTCAAAACCTGAGTTAGCCGGGCGGTGGGGGAAAAAAAGCCTGAGCCGAGGAAAGAATGACAAATCTGCAGAGCTGCAGAAGCAGATTCCCGCCCATGGCGAAGATGTAGCACAATGTCCGCTTCTAATTTGCCATGAATTTTCACGGAAAGTCATGGCTTCCTGTCTGACTCTGCCTCACTCCTCGTTCTCCCCAGGCGTGTGCTCTCGCTGGGCCCAGGGACACAGAAAAAGGCCCCCGGCCTTTGGGCGTCATCCTCATCTGCCTCCGGGAGGTCCAGAGACCCCAGGACGTCAGCATCCGGTTCTGTGCCTTCTGCCAATTCACATACGACACACGGCACAAAGCCGGGGGGTCACTGGGGCAAGAAGAAGGGGGAGACCTTTGAACCTCATGGAGAAAATTTTCATGGCACCCCCAGGCCTGTGGAGGAAGGGAAGAGCCCACCGGTGACTGTACCTCCTCGGGGACGGGGGCGATGGGATGCAGAGGGAAGAGATGGAACTTCGTGGGTCGGTGGCTTGAGTTTGATCCCAGGACTGCCTCTCACCACCTAAGTGATGTTGAACAAGTCGCCACATCTCTGAGATTTATCTCCCCGTCTCTAAAATGGGCACGGTAAACCCTGCCCTTCGGGCTATTGTGGAGATTCGACGGTAACATATTTTAAATGCTTGGAACCTTCGGCATCAAAAAGATCTGAAAATAAAAATGGGTTGTTTTTAGAGAAAAGTATAGCTACTTTAGAAAACAGCCTGGCAGTTTCTCCAAATAGTAAACACGGTTACCATGGGACCCAGCAATTCCATCCCAGGTATCTACCTACCCAAGAGAAGTGAACATACACCTCGTTGACACAGAACTTGAACATGCACAGCAACATTATTCATAGTGGCCAGGAAGTTGAAGCTACCCAAATGTCCATCACCGGAGGAGCGGATAAATGAAGTTTGGTACATCCATGCAATGGAATATTATTCCACGATGACAGGAAATAAAGCACTGATACAAGTGACAACATGGATGAACTTAGAAAACATTATGCTAAGTGAAAAAAGTCCCAAAAGACCACAGATTGTGTGATTATACGAACCGTCCAGAATAGGCAAATCCATAGAGAGAGAAAATAGATTAGTGGTTGCCTGGGACTTGGGGGGATAGGGAGTTTGGGGGTGGAGGTGACAGCTAAGAGGTATGCAATTTTGTTTGGAGGGTAAAGTCGATTAAAAAAAACACGGCCATGCCTGATTAAATAGGCATCATTTTCAAATGTGACATTCCAGACAAGACTGGTTACATAACCAATTTTTCCATACGAAGTAGGGAGACTCAGTTAGAATTTTCGAATTCAGCTACTAAAACCAAGGGAAATAAAATTTACTTTTCAAGTTTTTCCTTCATGAGCTCCATCATGTCCTGGGATTAACTGACACTTGCGGACAAGTATGCAGGTCTGCAAGGCTACGACTAATTTAATAATAACACTGTTATTAACATGCAACGTATTCATTGTTGTCTTCCACGTATCCTCAAATAAGCATTAAAAAAATTATCAACACAGAAAACACAATTTCCAACACAGAAAACACTGATATTTACAACCCCAAACATCAAAAATTCTTTGAGGTCCTTCATAAGTTTATGAGAATAAAGGTGTCTGGAGACCAAAAAAATCTAAGAAATGTTGCTTTAGCATGAAATACTGTTATGCTAGAAAAAAAAAGAACGTAACAGTTATATCTCTCTATCACTGTTGCTTCTGGTATAGTCCCTACCACTTATAACATCAATTACAATTTTTAACCAAAGTAAATAACTTCTCCTTTATAGAGCGAACAGTGGCATGCTTAATTGAGAACTGCTACCACACAGCAGCATTTTGGCAAATTAGCAGGGCTCATGAATTCATATAACTTTCTATAGCCACATACCTCCCTTAAAGAAACTGTAAAAGTAGCAAAAATATACATGTTCATTAACATGGTCCAAAGCATATAAAAATGAGAAGCAAATGTCTACAAATTCAAAATTATGCTTAGTAATTGACATTTCAGTATTTATCTTGATTAGAAATGATCTATGCACCCAATGATTACTTATTAAATAATGCAATGTGTATCAGTCCAAGGTTTAAATTACTTAAAGATCTTGGAAATTATCTTCGAGCTGACACATTACAAAACATAATTACTGTTGAAATATAGAGTTTCTTGGAATAATGATTCAACTTAGTTGAACACAAATTCACATTTTTCACAGCCTTAAAAATTAACTAAGAATAACATTAGCTTATTTGATCAGCAAAGTGAATAAGTTTAGGAAAAAACATACCTAGTAGAATAAAATGTAGCTCCCATTACATATAGCACTAATAAATTAGAGAAAACAGATGTTTCTATTCAATCAAAGTTATTAAACTAAAAAGAAGTTATTAAGCTAGTCTCATTTGCCAAAGATTTACCTTAATTATATAGATTTCTAAAATGCTTCTAAGTTAGATTTGGCTAACACATTTAAAGTATTAGAAGTTTAATGTCTTTATTTTCTGATAATTTTAGGAAATAATTTCTTTAAGTGTTTAATGATTTCCATACACCAACCAGAACCTGTTTCTTTAATTTAAGAGACTTTGTAATTTAATTGATTAACGCCCTCTGGAGATAGGAAAACAAGCACACAATGAAAGGCAGAGGTCTTTCTGAATGACGGACACGTGGACGTAGGTATCCATAGAAAGTTCATAGCTTCGACCCCACCATTTTTGGTTGCCGTTCACGAAAACACACGTCCAAATATCAACTGTCTGTTTCTTTTCCTGGTAGGCGCAACATTCTTACTTGATTTGAGCTCCAAATAGATGGACAAACAAAAGACATCTTACAGATGAGCTCTTATTCTCAACAGCCAGCATGGCCTCCTGGCCACAGCGCAACCCTCTAGCTTCGGGGTTCACTATGCAGAGCCCAAGCGGCTGGGAACAGCCCCCCCCACACACACACCAAGAAGTGATGCACGTGAGCGTGTAAATACTCTGACTCCCTGGATCCCTCATCAAGACATTTCTGAGTTGACCCTACACTGTTCCCAGAACTTGGGACTGGTCCAAGTTGCCCTTTGTGGGACTTGGCTAATATCACGTCTTCGCTTAGGTTCCTCCCTTCCTGATCACCGACCCCACGCCAGGTTTTCCCGGACTTGCTTCCCAATCAATCCCTTCACACAAACCCTCATCGCGGAAGCCTCATCCCAGAAGGGATATTAGGGTCTACTCTATTATAGATCCTAATATATTAGGGTAGACCCTCATACCCTCTTCTTGTTTAATAAC